GCCTTATCTTCTTCCTCTCAGAAGCAGGACCGTTCCTTCAACTTACATGTAAAGCTTGTACTAAAGGAGTACAAGTGACTGATACTGCCTGAATTTCCCCAAGCTCGTGCACTTGTCTTTGTTTATTATATTAATAAATACTATGCAACTAATGTTCCCATCTGGCAGGGCAGAGAAAAGAGCATAAAGATGAAGTTGTGGTTGCATCTCTCAAATACTAATGAAGGTGGTACCCGCTTGGCATGGTAGAAAGGTGGGTCTTGATTTTAGAGTTCTTAATTAAGAACTGCCAAGTGACTAATATTAATTAGGAAGCCAGCTGTATCCTTCAGTTTTGTGGTATATTTCGTCTTAGAAACTTGTGAAGGGAGTAAGTTGGAGCCTCTTGTAATCAATCAGCCCATGAGCAATTATCTATTAAGTATACTTTGTGTGTACAGCACCAGGCTATGCGGACAGAGATTTATAAGATGCTGTCTTTGCCTTGAGGATCTCCATCTAACTGAGGAGTGTGTATCAACAGAGAGAGCCAGTATTTCAGGACAGTGAAGTAGAAACATCCTCTGGATGGTATCAGTGGCATAAGGGGGAGTAGAGCAGTGCGGTGGGAGGGAGCTTTTCCAAACTACACAGGGGCCCTCCCTCTGCCAGGGTCGCAGGAGCCTGCCAGTGTAGGTGATGGGGGGTATTATATCCCCGGGTATGGTGGGGTGGACAGAAGAAGGTTGAGGACCACCCAGCAGACTGGAAAGTTGGAGTTCAGAGGAAGGAACAATGATCATGGGCAGAAATAGTTGAGATGACTACAGCTGTGCTCTAAAGTGGAAGGACAAGATTTCCAATGAGTGAGGAGCCATGGGCAGCCCACAGAGGTGGAAGGAAAGAGAGGAGGCCACCCTGAAGTAAGGGGCATCGTGCCAGTACGTCCACTTCAGCTCTTCAGTGCCGAATCTCTTCACCAGCTGTTGCATCAGTGATTCTGTTAGTGCTGCTCGTGCCTACACAAACACATTACTGTATAGGGGAATATTTCCTAAATGTTTTTTGTGCTGTACACCATGCAGTGGCCACATACAGCATGTACTTGCAAGTTTAATCTGCATTGTTAACATGTTCTCCATCACTTTCTTAAGTCTAGATATTCAGCAATACCATGTATCAACCCATGATTTGTAGTGTTTTCCAGTTTCCCTGGTGTAAACACTCCTACCGTGGCCAAGGTAAAACTGCCAGCAGGATGTCATTGAACATGGAGTTGGGAATAGTGGCCAGTGGTACACCATTATATTCTGTTTCTGGCATAGTGATACAGTAGCTGCTAATAACCTCAAGAACATAGAAAATAATAACATGTGTAATGATAAGAAAATTGACTCAAAATAACCTGTACCTACTTAAAATGTAAAAAAAAAAAAAGCTGAAACATGGCCTTCTGCAGAGACTTAGTACCCTGAGCTAGAGATGGGGGGAGTGGTTGAAGCAGAAACTCCGTCCACTATGTATTCCTGACATGATCACTCAGCTCCTTAATAAAATTATACCTGGAATGAGGGGCTTAACATGAAGCACCTCAAAATCCTCGTCCATGTTCCGACTTTCTAAGTCTCCTTTGACATTGATGTATTAATATCCACTGAATTCTAGTTCCTTGAATCACTAGCAATTGAAGAAGGATTATATGAAGATTCAGTTGTAATGTACTTTCTTTCAACTTTGCCTTACATAGAATGTTAATTTTCATAGGTTTTTTTCCAAGCTCAAATTGTAGTTCAATTTGCAGTTCTCTCTTAATTTCATACCTGGAAACTGAGATCGCTGAGTCATGTCTATAGATGGACAGTTGTGTTAAATCGCCTGGCGGAGTGCCGTGGGTCTTCTCATGCAGGGGCCTTGGGTCCAGAAAGCTACAATTCTCCATGCTCCTTTACAGACTTTCTTGGCTAGTTTGTATTTCTTCCAGATGATCCAAGGAGAGCTCTAAGTCAAGAATCCTTAACCTCGAGCCTGAGACGTGGTCGTTCACAAGTCATCCACATTCTGGGTCGACATCCTCAGATTTAGACTCATCTGAGGGAGCTGAGTTTGATGAGCTTTTCTCTCCTCAAACTCTGCCAATGAACTCTTTCTTTTCACATCTATTCTAATTGAGTGCTGGGTTCCGTTCAGGTTGCACTTTTGTGTGTGTGTCAACCTTCTCTAGCCCTAGTTTGTAAAAATAACCTTTTTTTAATAAATCCAGACATCCAGAGCAATCTTCTTCCCAACTAAGAAAGTTTTTCACTGAGTGTTTCGGAATCCTACCTGTTGCTTAAGATAAAGTCCTGTATCAGTTGCCATCTTCGGAATGCTGTCCTAATGCCATGGTCCTGAAATCCCTATTACCCCAAGCACAGTTCCCTTCAGAGAAAAGGAAACCTTGGAAATAGCAGATCTGTGCTTTTCTTTTCATTTCGTAACTTGGAGAGTTTTACTAACCTCGTGGCATCATCAGCCTTTTATTGAATTTAAATGGCTACGTGTGAATGGTATCTTTATAAAAAATAAGTACGGAAACTTAGGAGAATGATTTTGCTATATCCAATAGCACTTATGTTATTATAAGGTTTAATATTTTCCCTTAAAAATAAATTTAAGGATGTGAATTGATTTAAAAGAAACTGTATAGCAGCATTCTAGATGATAGATTGACATCACTTGCAGTTAATAAAAATATATGCATAGTAATTAAAATTGAAAGCTTACATCTGTGTACATGTACAGTCATCTCAGGGAACACCTCCGGGAAACATGGCTTGGCGGAGATGTTGTGTTAGCGGGGGCTGAGACAGGATAAGGGAAACAGACCTATTTCTCCCTGGCTTTAACATTCAGTAAGGGCTTCAGGTTTAATTTTACTGGTAAGTTTTGTTGACAACAGGATTTTTCAGCCTCAACACCATTGACCTTTTGGGCTGGGTAACTCGTTGTTGGATACCGTCTTTTGCACTGTAGAATGTTTAGCAGCATCCTTGGCCTCTAACTATTAGATGCCAGTAGCACACCCCCAGGTGTGACAGTTGAAGATGTTTCTAGACATTGCCCAATGGCCCCTGGTGGAGGGGAAAATGGTGACTGGTTGGGAACCACTGTGTTATACATGAGTCGTTGTGTTGCTTTTGTTATCCTTGTTGTCTTAAATTGTTACTTTGTTAAGTATGCATATTTAAAAGATGCTGTACTTTTTGAGATGATGTTGTGGCGTTTTTGTGACTATCCCTATCACTCTCCTATCCCAAAAATGAAAGTGGCCCTGGCCCCTCCTAAGACCTGCTGGGGCACACCTAGTCCCTTCACTGTAGAGGCTAGTTAAGTCTCCGCCCTGGATGTCAGTTCCCAAAGGCCTCTCCTTCGTAAATGAAAGACAGGATCTTCCCTCCCCTCCTCCTATGTTTCTAGCTTATATACAGATATGCTTCATTTTCAGAAAACCCAATGGAAAATGATTTCATGTGTTATCCCTTATTTATATCAACAGGACTACATTTTTGCAAGGTATTAATTTAAATGTATTATCTCTTTTAGCTTCCACAAAAGTCTAATGATGCTGGTTAATATCATTTACCCTTGTTTTTTTCATTGAGAAAAACTGAAGCTTAGGTTAAATGACTTGCCCCAAGCCACACTGCTAAAATGGCTTTTCTGTTAAAGAAGAATGTCGGAAGCAGTCTGTCCCCAAGCAAAGAAATATTTACATTAATTATGAAACGCAGTATGAATTCATAACTAGCCTGTCAATAATTGTGTTTATGATTATGTGGCAAATACTGATGCTATAACTTTTGTTCAAAATTATAAACCTAGTTATAAAATTGTAAACTATGATTAATAACTGTTTAAAAAAATACTTTGAATGTAAACGTGAAAGAAATTTACCAAAATACTAATAGAAATTATGTTTTAGTTGGAGACTTCTGGCAGTTTTCTTTTTAACCCTCTTCTGAATTTCTAAATGGGTTGCAATATATTTCTATTTCTTTGAAAAAATGGAATTTATAATTTACAAATGAAGAAAGATAGAGTTTGCATTAGTGCCCAAGTTCCTTTTTCTCTATAATTCTAGCTAAGAAATGTCCATGTTCTGCACACGTACAAGTGTTCATGTGTCAGTGTCTCTGGGGTCAGCAGTCTTTCAGAGTCGATTTGCTGTACCCTGGGGCAGAGGGCTGGCCTGCCACCTCTGGTTGAAAGAAAGAAACGTACAGGATACGTCCTTGGGGTACCCCGCCAAAATAATATGTAGTGATGGAAACAGGCAGTAGGTCTGCTCCTTCTCTTTGTTGTTGTTGTTTTTTAATACAAATGCCTCTGGGATGAGATTGAGCCTTACCAACCGAAAAAAAAGGTCAAGGAACTTGCTGTGTGCCTAGATTGGTTCACTCTTAGTGACAGAGTTACAGTCATGCATCACTTAACGACACGGACACGTTCTGAGAAATGTGTCATTAGGCGATTTTGTTGTTGCGCAAGCATCACAGAGTGTACTTACACGAACCTAGATGCTATAGCTACTACACAGCTCGGCTATATGGTGTCCTAATCTTATGGGACCACTGTCGTATATGCGGTCCGTCGTTGACTGAAATGTCATTATTCGGAGCATGACTGTACTCATGTCGCCATCACAAAGGGGTAATTGATAGTGAACTAAGTCACCATCAGCCTTTCCACTAGTGAAGACTCATAACTATAACCAAATTGACAAGACTGTGAAGTGGAAACGTGGCGTACTTTGTTACAAAAGAAAAGTAGATACTTGTTTGCTGGCAGAATGTATAGAACATTTTTAAACTACATAAGTGCTATCTCAAATGATTTTTTTTGGTGAGGAAGATTGGCCCTAAGCTAACATCTGTGCCCATCTTCCTCTATTTTGTATGTGGGACGCCGCCACAGCATGGCCTGATGAGCAGTGCATAGGTCTGCATCCGGGATCCGAACCTGCGAACCCTGGTCCTCTAAAGCAGAGTGTGCAAACTTAACCACTACACCATTGGGCCAGCCCCCTCAAATGATATTTTTATTTAAACATCCTTCAATCTATGTCTATCCGTTCACTTTAATTTCTTATTAAAGTGCGGTTTAAATTAACCTCTGCGGTTCTGTATGATGTTACATTCCTGAGTGATTCCTCTTGATAGGGGGATAAATCTATGGTTCCATTCTGAAAGAGCTTCTTTTTAGCTTCTGGTGTGTGTAATTGTTCTCGTCAAATGCTAGCTGTTTCTCGATTTAATATCTGCTAAAATTTTCTGATGCTTTTTGCTTTTTTACTGTTTTCATGTGTTACGCTTAATTTGAAATGGTGATTTTGGTTGATTACCTACCCAGCATGATTATTTCCCTTAAGTACAGGGGAACTTGGTTTGCCAGTTTTGTCCTCCTTGTTCGTAATGTTAGGTGCGCACAGCTCATCTCAGCATTAAAGGAACCACTCTCCTTCCCTGTGTTCTGAACTCTTTTCTTCTGGCCTTGATTCTGTGCCCACGTTTCCCACAACTACAAAATTCCCGAAGAATATGACCTGGTGTGGAATCGTTTCACATGTGTTTATGGTATGTGTGATCTTCACATCCGTCAGTAGATAGTCTTCTGCACTCACCAGAAGCACTGTGTCATGTCTGGAAGAAAGTTTTTAATGTTATTTTTAAAAAGCTGTAGACATTTTAATAAAAGTTTCTTCTCAGCTTTTCTCTGATGTGTATCAGGAGGAAAGTACAGTAACAGAGAATACGGCATTACTGCAGCACGCCTGTCTGAATACATTTCAGTTCATTGAGCTAGATTTCCCTGAAAAGGGAGTATTCTCAGCCAAGTCTGGTCTAAAAAGATACCCAGAGTGGTGAGCCCAGATCTTTGGTGCCTGCAGGTGCTATTTTCTTATCCTTAATATTTTAAATTATTCTCTGGCACCGTGGCAAACAGGATGGAGGCTAATGGCCTGATGAACAGTAGCGACGCCCAGTATCAGATGGGCTGAAGCTGCATACCCAGTAAGAGTGGGAAAGCCTACAATTGTTCGTGGCCGAAAGTTCATAAGCCTTTGCGCTGGTGACCTCTGAGGCGTGGCAGTGACGTGGTCTCTCTGAGGACCCACAACCTACTTACAAGCAATTGCAAGAGCACAAAGCACAGAAGGCATATGGAAATTCTACTCTCAAGCTTAGTATACAACATGCAAAATGAATTTTTCATATTGGGTTTTAAAAAATGGCAACATTCCAGCTTTCCCTCGCTGGTGTGCCTTTTGGAATTAGTGCCCTTTAAAGCAGCCAGAGGGGGGAATGACTATCATGTAAGCACAGTGGTGTTTGCAAGTGAGAGCTATATGAGAGGGGATGATGATTTTGGAAACATTATTCTGGGTGTCGAATTGAATGAAACATCATTACTGAAGGAAAAAACATCCAGAAACACATTGTTAGTACTTTCTCGGATTTGGGCCTGGAGAACCATACTGTGAATTGAATGGAAGATAAATAGAGAGAAAAATAGCAGATTAAGGGGACAAACAACCAGGGGGAAGAAGGGGCACCCGCTGGCCTCAGCAGAGAACATATAACCAGCATCTGATGCATTTCCTTAAGAATCAGTGTGTTTGCAAATTGTTCCGTTGCATCTTAAAGGAATCTCATCTGAGTAACGGAGAGCTGACTAGTGAACATAGTTGGATGAATTCCCTCAGTACTCCTGAAATATAACAGAGCAAGGAACAGTATAATGAAAAATAACAGAGAGAGTAGCTAGGGGCTTAACTTCTGATCAGTGTTCATTACAACAAATGACACTTTCCCTGCAGAGTTACCATAAAGATTATTGACTCTTACGTAATGTGGTTCCCATCTGAATAGACCTGAGAACAGCTTAGCCTGTGAACGGAGGAGCTGAAGCAAGAGGAGGACTGAAGATGTACTCAGTACCCTTATTCATTTTTTCAATTAGTGAAATTTCAATTGTGAGCTGCCCGTTCAGAACCCTGGACAGAGCAAAAGAGAGCGAACCTTCTTCCAGGAAGACCCTCCATGATATCTTTGGCATAGACTAGCATGGTTTTATGTCGTATTCAACAAAGACCAGGCTCAGAAAGTGACTAAACTTGTTGGTAGTTTTATATCCAAGACTCCCTCCTTACATTCTCTGCCATTTGATATTTTCCTCAAGCATACATGTTACAACATTTAAAAACATGTATCTCTTCGGGAAGAAACTGTGTTTTGTAGAAAATGTTGGGCACACAACCATAAGGCATTTTGCAACTCTGGTTTCAACCAAGTTTAGAATGGACAACCCAGTTCTGAGCACAGTGCATAATAGCCTGGGTTTACTGGGCATCCGTTTGGTACCTGCTAAGCACTTTTTGTTATTTCGTCCTCCCAACAACCCTGTGACGTGTATACTGTTATGATCGGTCCCATTTTCCAGATAAGAAAGTATGCTCAGAGAGATTGGTAACTTCTCCAGGGTTACCCAGCTGCCAGTTATTAGAGATAAACTTCAAAACCAGGTCTCTCTAGCAATCTGCCAGACATTTTTACTTCCACACAGGTGTGTGTGCTCTCCCTCCCTCCCTCCCCCTCCCTCCCCC